GGTCAGGCACATTCACAGCAATGAACACACACTTGCCAGCAAAATCTGTATCAGCACATTCTACAGAAAAAGATTCAACACAAGGTGAAAGTGAAGCCTAGAGTTCCTCACAAGAAACATGTGAGCCTTCCTTCTTCATTTCTCCTTTATAACATTCAGGCAGCAAGGCCCCCTACAGTGGGTCTCCATCTTCAGTAAATCCCCTCAGCCACACTCAGAATAGCTGATTCAATTTATTTGGGTGTTTTTTACTCCAGTTGGTACAATCAGACAACTATCACAAAAAGACATGCACTATTCCTGGACAGACAGAGCCAATACTGTCAAATGGTCATTTTTCTAAAACTGATATAACATTTAATGCAATCACAATCAAAGTACCAATATGATTTCTTACAAAACTAGAAAAAAACAATTCTAATATCCATTTGGAGCCAGAAGAGACCTGAAAGAGCAAAAGCAATCCTCAGCAACAAAAGCAAAGCAGGAGATATCACAATTCTAGATTTCAAATCATATTACAAATCTACAGTGATAAAAACAGTATGACAGGGGCACAGAAACAAACATGCAGATCAGTGACATAGAACAGAGTATTCAGTAACAACCCCAAGCACATTCAACTATGTAACCTTTGACAAAGGAGCCAAAACACACTGGAAAAAAGATAAACTATAACAAATGGGAAAACTGGCTATCCACATGAAGACTGAATCTAGACTCATTTCTCTCACTATATACTAAACCAAAATCAAAATGGATCAAAGATCAAATATTAAAACAGAAACTCTTAACCTCATGGAAGAAAAAATACGTAAAACTTTGACAACTTTGCCAGGTACAGGCAAAAGATTTCTAAACAGAATCCCAAATGTAAAGAAATAACATCAAGAATCAACAAATGGGACTATCAAATTAGAAAGCTTTTGCACAGCAAAGACAACAGTGAACAGTGCAGAGACAACCTACAGAATGGGAAAAAATTTTGTCAGCTACTTCTCAAACAGAGGACTAATATACAGAATATATAAAGAACTAAAAAAAAAAATGGAAGCTTCCCCCCATTAAAGACCAAATCAAAAAATGGTCAACTGAAATGAACAGACACTTGTCAGAAGAAGCAACACAACTGGCCAATCACCACACTAAAAAAAATGTTCAACACTGCTGGCCATTAAAGAGATGCAAATTAAAATGAGATGAGAAACCACGTTAGGAAAAAATGTCTATCATCAAGAAATCAAAACAAATGCTGGTAAGGCTCTAAGGAAAAAGAAACCTTTCTACATTATTGGGTGGAATGTAAACTACTATAATCACATGGAAATCAGCATAGAAAGTCCTCAATATTAGAAATTTCATTTGACCTAGATATTTCCCTTCAAGATATCTTCCTACACAAGTTACAGGCATCAGATTACAGTGATATGGTATGTGTACACCTATGTTTATAGCAGCACAATTTCTAATATCAAAATCTTGGATGTAGTCTATATGTCCATCAATAGATGAACAGATAAAGAAATCTGATCTTCATGCATAATGCAGTACTATTCTACTGTAAAGTAATTTATAGAAAAATAGATGCACATTGAAACCTTAACGTTAACTGAAATAAAAAGTAACTTAAACATCACATAGTTTGTCTTATATGAGAAACACAAAGTATAAATAAATTACAGAGCAAAATAAATGAGATAATAGAAAATAGGAAGATTTTCTTCAAAAAGGGAAGGAGACCAAGAGATGGAGAGAAAAGGGAGTGAAGCAAAGATAACATAAAAACAATTAAGCCAAACTATTAATCTTACTCCAAACATGTACTACTAAAAATAAAAGCTGAAAATAAATAAGTGAAATTGTTGCCCTCTTGCTATTTAGGTGAAAGAATACTATAGTACTTTATATCAAATTTGAAAACTCATTTTGATTGTTACATACTATTTGTATCTGACACATGAAATTCTTTTTTAATTCTATGACAAGAGCTGAGGATATAATTCAGTGGCACAAGCACCTGCCTGTCAAGTGCAAAGTCATGTGTTCAATTCCTGGTACAAAAAACAAAAATTCTATAACACAGAAATTTCAGACAATGACACTAATTTCTAGAGAAGTTAAATGAATTAAGGTCATAAAACAAGCAGGTGTCAGGAGCAGGATTCAAAGTCAGATCTCATGAACTAAAACCAAATGTCTTTCCAAGGACTCTAATCACTACTCATTATCTATAGAGGAAAATTTTACACCTGCTTTAAATGAGCTGAAACAGAAACAAATTTGTAAAAGAGAAAAGCACACAACTCTAATTTCCCATAACTTTTAACCTAAGTTTCAGACTTAAACATTTACTTAATCAGCCTGTGCACACATTCCTAACCACTCGCCTTACGTATGTCACTAACACTACTGATGAGACCTGTTCTGTTTATATATTTTATTCATGAAGTCTGAAGCTTCTATTTCCATGTTATTTCTCACATATTAAGCATAACTCCTTGTCTAGTGAAATTTCCTAGAGTTGCTAGGTATTTTCTTATTGTCACCAACATATGTTTGAAATAGGATTTTTTCCCCAGGTAACATACAGTGTTATATTTGCTTTTATTAAGTTTCTGATTCACGCATACACAACAGCTTCCCATAATAGAAACTTTTATCACTATGATGGATGTGGTCATTATGTATCTCTAAACTGTACCAATAAACATAACCAAAAAAAAAGAAAAAATTAAAAGAAACGTCTAAAAATTTAGCATGGAGAAAGAAGTTTTGGAGAATACATAGCCCATTCACTTTCACTACAAAAAGCATTTGAAAGTATGTACATGTGTATAGAAATCAATCAATATTATGTGCAGGTAAGGAAGGACAAAGGAAAGGACGAAACAGTGCAATTATTTCTCTAATGACCAGTTTCCAGGTTAGTATTCACAAATGGGAAAATGTTATCCATAATTTCTATTCAAGTTTTTCTTCAATTAGCCATTATACCTATATTTAAATTTATTGTCAGCTTTAAGCTCTAAACTGGGAGTGTACTTCAGAATTGATGTTTTTCAGAAAAACAGATATTCCATTTATACACAGAAAATTTTCAAGTTCTAATAGGTCATAATGTAATTATTTCTTTTTCTAGTATTTACTTCGGGGCTTTCCTGGTAAGAACCGTGTTACACATGAGACAGGTCCTTTTCAGGAGATCAAGGTTACCTTCTCCAAAATACCTGAGCATGGTTATATTGAAAGAAACACACTGACCTAAAAAAGAAATCTCAGCTCGTGTTTTTACCAGAAAAGTATCTGTAATGTACTGGGAAAAATTCTGAAAGAATAAATTAACTTTTCAATCCTTTAAATGTTTTTAGAAAACTTCAAGAGACCAGTTAAATAAATTACCACAGTTACTAGCAAAAGGAAAACTTACTTTCCATGGTGCAACATCTGGCCACAATTCCACTACAGAATAAAACACTCACAAGACCAGCCTAAACGGAAACCTCAGTTTAGCCAAATGTACAAGCTAGGGTGTAGAGGCTAGCTTTCTCCCCAAAGCCTCAGAGGGTCATAGGTGGGCTTTTTGGAGGTGGCTAGATCTAGAGTGTGTGACGCTAGGATTAAGAATGTGTGATTACTAATTCAGTCCACTGATGGGCTTGGCATACTCTAGGTAGGATTAACGGGGCCCCATCCTAAGTGTCAGTGCTATCTAAGGGCAGGTAGCCTGAGTAAAATACAAGGGGCAGAAAGAGGGCTAGTGAGGTAACTTGTCACTTGCTGGTGGGAGCTTGACACCTTGCTGACTTCTGTCTCCCCTGATCCACTAGGAACTGTTTCTCTTCTGTGATGCCCCTCTGCCCTGCTACCCTGAGTAGGACCCAGCCAACTATGAACTGAAACCTCTACAAACTGTGAACTAAACCACCTTTCCTCCTTTAACCTTGGGTGTCAGGTATTTTTCTCAGCAAAGATACAGGATATTCCAAGCTTTAGGCTTGTCATTGTAAAGGTAATGGAATTATTCATTCAGTTAACTGAGTATCTACTGTGTACCAAATCCTGTGTCACCAATGGAAGTTTTGTTATTTGATTTTTGTTTGAATAAATAAAACCATGTTCCTAATATTGTGGAGATACAAATAAATGCAATACAATTACTGCTTTGAACCAAATGGATGCTTGGGTAAACTGAGAAAGACTGCCAAGGGGACAACGGAGCACAGCACTGAAGAATGAGCTGCTGAGAGATGGGGGTTAGGGGTATTCCTTGAAGAAAGAACACTGTGTGTGCAAGAGAAAGACAGGAAGGGAGATTTAATGTAGATGACGATGACGATGCACTGGCTGGGTATCAGGGAAAAGAACCTCTGAAATTTGACCTTGAGGGAATAAGCCACTTAAACATTGTGGTGAAGTCCTTTCTATGCTAACGCTATGGAAACTGAGCGGAGGTTTCATTCAATCCAATGAATTTAATTTCTCCACTTCTTATTTCATTTCAAATTGTTAGTCTCCTCAAGCAAACAAAACAAAACAAAACAAAACAAAATTATCCAAGTTTTAATGCTGATGTGAAACCTAAAAGACCTTTCTTAACTGACAACTTTTTTTTTTTTTTTTTTTTTTTTTTTTGTCTTTTTGAGACAGGGTCTCACTATGCAGTTCAGGCTGGCCTTGAGCTCACTTTGTGGCCTAGGCTGGTCTCAAACTCACAACGATCCTCCTCCCAAGTGCTGGGATTACAGGCGTGAGCCATCACGCCCAGCTTAACTGACAGCTTTTAAGACATTTTTAATATGCCAGTAGTAAGGCATTCTAAAAGCAAGATCTGACAAACGATTCACTTCTGCTTTTGATCAATACAAACTCAACACATAAGGTGTGGAAATTAGAAACTGATACTCCATTTGTGTATCCCCAAAATACCCCCTCCTATTTGATGAAATGAAGCTTTCCTCTAAGGCCCCATCACCCAGAAGAGAATGTCAGGTCCCACTTGCCTGTGCTCCGCAGGGACAGGAGGTGGCCAGACAGCAGGATCTCTCAGTGGCTCGTCCTGAGAGGACACAGGGAAATCTGGGGGCTTGTCAATTTTAAAACTCTCTAAAGTGTTGACAATACTTTTAACTTGTTCATATTCTTCTAACAGTTCCTGCCGAACCTTAAAAAAAAAAAAATAGCCTTTATGTTATAATTGCTTAAAGTTCATGCAAACAGTAAATAAACCTATACAAAATGCAAGTTCTTTATGTAGAAGTACACAAAAATATGCCATTAATACACACAAACACATAAAAAGCTGGAAACAATGAAGAGCAGAGACTGACTTAAAAAAAACATTATTTTATCTTTTCATAATGAATTATACAGCTTTCATAATGGAACTCTATTTTACGTATAATGATAATACAATTTAAACAACTAAGTAATAATACCATCCCCAGAAATCTATAGTTTTGCTAAACTTTTTTAACAAATTTGCAGATGCCAAAAACTTGGTCAGACAGAACTTTCTCCAGCATTTCCTACCCTGTATCACTAAATATGAAATGTCTGTCACAAGTGTCTAAAAGCCTGAGGCAGCATAATACTAGAAACTACACACTTCTAGTTGTCCCGTAAATTCTTCTTTCCCTACAATCTGATTCTTCTGACTTGGTTTAAATTATTTTAAGTAGTAGGTAAAGTTTCTTTTGTGCTCAAGAGAGATTTTTTCTCTATGTTTAAAAGCCTATCTGGCGTCTTCCTCTGGAAAACACCAAATAGAGGATGACGCAGGTGAAGTGGAGGCCTGGGACGCCCTGGAGGCCCTGGGGCACCTGCAACCCCTGGAGGCCCTGGAGGCCCTAGAGGCCTGGGACTCCCTGGAGCCCTGGAGCACCTGGAGGAGGCCAGGCACAAGAGGTGGTGGAGCTTTTGAGGAGGCTTTGGAAATAGTCCTCAAGGCCAAGGGAGGCACCAGGCTGACAGTGGAAAGGCCAGGCCAAGGAGTGGATTCCTGTCGCCAAGCTGGGCCACCTGGTCAAGGACGGGAAAATCAAGTTCCTGAAAGAAATTTATCTCTTCTCCTCGCCCATCTAGGAGTCTGAGATTACTGACTTTCTCCTGGCCACACCTCTAAGGATGAAGTTCTGAAGATCACGCCTGTGCAGAAGCAAACTCACACTGGCCAGCAGGCCAGCCTCAAGGCATCTATAGCCTCTGAGGACAATGGTCACACTGTTCTGGATGTAAAGTGCTCCAAGGAGGTGGTCAGTGCCCCTTGGGGGGCCACCATCCTACCCAAGTCCTCCACCATCCCTGCGTAGAGAGGCTATAGAGGGAATGACATCAGCAAGCCCCACACTGTCCCCTGAACGCTAACAGGCCACTATGGCTCTGCACTGGTGTATCTGACCCTGCCCAGAGGCAGCGGTGACATCCCAGACCCGGTGTCCAGGAAGCTGCTGCTGATGGCTGGCACAGTACTGACCAGAGCTACATCTCTGCCGAGGACTGTACCGCCACTGGACAACTTCTCCAAGGCCACCCTTGATGCCACCTGTAGCCACCTAATACCTGACTTCTGGAAAGAGACTGCGTTCGCCACATTTCCCTACCAGGAATTCAATGACTGTTCTGTAAAAACCCACATCACAGTCTCCGTCCAGAGGGTCCAAGCTCCAGCAGTGGTCACAACACAGGGTTCTTACACAAGAAGCACAAAGTGAACCAAATCTGGCCAAAAAGAAAAAAAAAACCCTATCCAAACAGGTACTATGTGGAGATTATTGTGTTTTCAGATTCTGGACTCAAATTCTGGAATCAAAAGCAAACAGATAAAGACTGAAACATACTTATAAATTCATTTTAACCATTTTATTTCTTTTTAATCATAAAGCATATTTTTACTACATAGCAGAACATAGGAAATTTTCTCATCTTTACCTTAAATACACTGAAAAGAATATAATGTGTAAGTTACAGAATCAAAGAAAAATCAGGTAAAATTCAACTGCTAATGTAAGCAATTATGTAAACTAGGAGAAACAAATTTGAGAACTGAAAGTAACATGATGAAATACCTGGACAGAAATGACTGCCATTTCACACACACACACACACACACACACACACACACACACACACGCACAGCACACTGATAGTACCAAAAAAAGAGAAGAATTAAAATTTTCAGTTTGACTTAAAACAAGTATGGGGTTCTCATTCACATTTGGTAACACAAACTGGAAAATAAGCCAAATTTACTCTCAAAACTTGGTAAAGTCCTAATTTCTGGCAAAAGTCGCATAAATACTTGAAAAACATTAGCACATAAAATGGGAACTTCAAAGAAATGCTTGACTTTGAATTTTTAATTTTAAAAAGATTTTAAGTTTTAACAATAATTGAGGAAATTATAATTCAAGTTATTAACTGTACTACTATATATTCAAGTATGGTCAAAAGAAAACAAATATATTAATATTTTTATTAGATTACTGATTCATTTGTTTTTGTACAGAGCTTTTCAAAAAAAAGTTTGATGAAATGGGCCAAAACTACGTGTAAAAAATGAAGACGGGCAAGTAGAAGTGCTCCATTTCAGATCAAACAGACGTGTAAATACTGCAGTTTCTCTAGTGTGAGAACCTGAAAGTGCAAATAAGGACCAAAATGCGTGATAGATACTGTGAAACAGGGAGAAAATGCTCAAATAGGAAAGGGAGCCAGGGAGGGGGAACGGGAAAGGAAGGAAGGGAAAAGAAAAAGAAAGGAAAAAAATGGAAACAAAGCATTTGTAAAGAAAGAAAGAGGAGCTGAAGGCAGGGTAGCGGAACGGGAAAAAAAGAATCAAAATACATCATCTACAGGCACAAATGTCAGGAATGTGACCATTATGTATAACTAAAATGTATCAGTAAACTTAATTTTTTAAAAAAAGAAAAAATATTTTATAGTTAATTAGGAAACTGATTATGAATATTTCAAAAACCTAGATTCAATTCAAATTAAATACATACAAAAAATACTTCATTGACTATATGATCAAAATATATAAAATATTAACTAGCTAAGATATTATTCAGAGTACATTTGAAATGGTTTTCAGTATTCGGACAAAAAAGAACTCTTTACAACACCGCAGAGTAACTCTGTAATCCGGCTTCTCTGTCTGATAGGCTGCCGCCGCCTTCTGTGCTCGCCAGTGTGAGCTCACCTGATGCCATTTGCCTTTGATGGCGGGGTCCCTCACTGACTGGCAGTGTCTCTGAATCTGCTGGATCACCCCCTGGTAGTACACCATTGACGAGTCGTAATTTCCCAGAAGTGCATATTCTCTTCCTTTCTTTGCATTTTCACAAATCTCAGCCAAGTTCATCTTTCACAGACCTAAACATAAAATATGACTTAAAAAATTTTAGCACTCACTTTAAAATATTTACTCTTTAAGATAGCTGCTTAAAGCTATTTTGAAAGTCAAAATAGTTATCTTTCTTTCTTGGAGGTTACCCAAAACTAGCTTTTAATACTGAATCAAGTGTCCAACTTTGGAAGTATAAAATAAATCACAGAACACCCAAAGAGATACTAGGGAAAGCAGACCTAACTTATTCACACATATATAAATTTGATACTAGTTTTCCTTGCTCATTTATACTTACTACAAGCTGTAATAATAGTAAAAATGAATCTGCTTTGTTCTATTCAATTGATTCTTAACAATATAGAGTTCTATGAATATGCTATAATTATATGAACACGCTACAGTTCCCACTGATGTCGGTTAAAATCACAAAAATTCATTTTCAGCAAGATTTGTTTTGGTCCTCAGAATAAATTATACTTAAGGAACACATTCTGAAGAACAATCCACATCTGGCCATGTATCACTTAATATGAACCTAATTGCCCCATATAATTGAAAGCTAAGTTTAAAAAAAAAATCTATGAATTAAACTAAGTCCTCCCTACACTTCAACTTGTAATCTTCTGGCCATGCAAATAACTATCATTAATCTTTTCTTTCTGTAAGGTGCTAGGAAGAATACTACATGAACCTCTAGTTTCCACGAAAATCCTCCAGGTCAGTGGTTCTGCTTCTTCTTCAGACTTTTCAAAAACCCCTCAGAATCATTCAAAGATTCTCTCAAAAGACAATTTCTTTCCAAGACTACAAAATAAGAAGGCAAATGATACAGAAGATAATATCCTGGGAAAGAGTTCAAATTGCCTTACTCTTACTTCTTGGGAAAGTGAACCAATGAATATATGTAGTAGAAAAATTAGAAGTATTTCTCTATTCTATGCCTTCTTGAGAGAATTAAATCTTGATTTGGGTAGCCTGGCTCTTCCTAACTTTGAATATCATATATATTCTTAAGAGCTTCAAGAATTCACCCTGAAAATTAATCATAACTACTTCTATGCATTTCAATGGACTCCAGAACATTCTGGGAAGTTGCCACTTAAGCAACTGTAAGTTCCTGAAAGGGAGCATTATGCTACTTGAGAATCACATTTGCAGCAAAGTTATTTGCATGGAAGAAAAATCAATGTTTCAGGGAATTCATCTACCCATAAATTCCAGACCATCACAGAAAGCCTCCTCTTTAAATCTAGAACACTAATATGAAGTAATAAGTTTTTATTACCGTAGCAAGCTGTAATTAATACATCCAGTAGAAACAAAACTGCCCCATCAGTAATCTGCTTCAAAAACCATTGAGAGACAATTAGCACTAATTCTGCCGAGTGCAGGTACAGCACTATGCAGGATAAAAATAGCTTGATGTACAGAAATCGCCAGCAAAGTTCTTCTATAAAGGGCTAGAGTAGTAAATATTTAAGGTTTTGCAAATTAGCAAACAAAATGGAGGTTATGATGCAAGCACTTACATAATGAGACAAAAATTTCTGTAATTTTTATTGCTAAAATTCAAAATATTTATACTAGCGGCAACTAAATATAGCTTCCTGTAAGAAGGGTTTTCCACTGAAAAGTAAAAGACTTTTCAGGGCTAATATTTCACTGATGATTCAAAGTGAATACCCTCTGCCATCAAAATTCACAAATGTTCATGTTATTAGTGCTGATCTTTAAGTATCACACGTTTCATCTCTGAAAATGTCTTTTTTCAAGAAGTATAATATGTATCACATACTAATATAATTTCTACTCAGCACAGTCGCTGTTTGGGAGGTAATGAAAGAATTCGTTCTTTTAGTATTTGCCTTTTATCTTACCATTTAGTTGCAGACTGATCACTTTCCATTAAAAGTTAAGTAAAGGGAACTGGACTACAGATTTAAATGGATTTTTTTTAGTATGAAATTTCCTTTGCACTTCCATCAACATCTGAAAAATGCCACTGAAACTAGTTTTAGTGTCGAAAAACTTATCTACAGCAGTTCTGGGTGGGAACAGAGATCACATGTCTTTACCTTTTGACAGCAGGGAAAATTATGTAAAATAGCTTGACATTATATGTGATTCAAAGGTTAGCTGGCACTAAAATAACTTTACCACTGTATTCTTTTCAATATAAGCACTGTTTTTGTTTGGTAATTTCAGATTGAATTAATAAATAATATTGAATCTGCAGCAAAAATTGATTTCAAAGTCATTCAGCCTTCATTAATAGTCATTTAGAGCAGTTCTTATTCAGAAAAATTTATATTTCAGCCCTCAGCTCAAAAGTTTACAATAAAACCTTCCCACTATTATGTCATCAGCGTGATGTCTGGAGAGAATACTGAGTTTCAATTTCTGACAAAACCTCACAGAACTGACAATAGTTAAGTCCACAAAACAAATGCTAACATTTCTGAGTTTTATCATAGATTTAAATGTTACCTGCAAAATGCTTCAGAAATAACAGAGTGATCATATACTTTAAATATTTATGCATAACTTCACAGCCTTATTAGCTTATTTCTATTCTGCACAAATTTTAGCATCATCACGGCAGATTCTACTTCAGGTTGAACAGAACTAGTGTTTGCTTAATTTTTTTTTTAAAGATTCTTGCCTGCAGTTGTTCCACACACACTATTCATTGAGGCTAATTCTTCAATAACTTAAAACTCAGTATTAACATCTTAAATAAACAACAACTGAGCGGTACTGGTAACATGTGCCAACGCATGAAGAGCCAAGGAAAATGTCTCAAAATCATCTGTCTTGTTTTTTTAATTGATTAATGACGTCCTCTATTCTTCATGCAACTGTTCACGCCAAAAGGCTAATAGTTACTTTAAAAAATTTATTTTCTCCAGAGACAATTCTGTGCCTGCTGCAACCCAAAATGATTTAGTTAACTCAGTGTTAGTAAATGACTTCCTTGCTTGGCTAACAAATGAGCCACTCAGAAAGTTACTCTGTATGCTACCTCATTTTCATTTTTTAATTCTGTGAAGAAACTATCAAGTAAGATACAAGTTTTCTAATTTTTCTAACCATTGCTTTCTTGTGAGTTGGAAATACATAATGAATTCTTAGGCTGATAATGCGGCTGTATCTTGTATTTCCCTTCAGCCCAACCAGTGCCATAGCATAATAACAATTGTTATCTATTAATCCACAATTCAATGCTGTAAAAGTATTAATATTCCAAGGCTTTTTCATCTTTTCTTATTTCAATATGATGGATATGCAAAATGTACAGTATCAGGAGGCTCTTGAAATGCTAATTACAATGCACCAACAGTAGTGCACAGTAATAAAATGCCACATGTCCCTGACACAACTACTCAGCTCTACCCCTGTAACACAAAAGCAGCAGGGATAATATGTAAACAATCAACTATGGCTATACAGTATTCCAATAAAACTTTATTTAAATATGTAAACAATCAACTATGGCTATACAGTATTCCAATAAAACTTTATTTATACACAGTAAAATCTGAATTCCATTCAATTCCCACATGCCACAAAATATTCTTTTGATTTTTTTCAACTATTTATAAAATGTGAAATCATTCTTGGTTCATAGCCCATTCAAAAACAGCATGCTATACATATTCAACCCCTGGGGTGCAGATTCCTACTTACAGCTTCTATTTAGAATCCAGAGAGGAGGAAATTAAATGGAAAACTAGCAAAAGGAAGAGTAAGGAAATAAGTCAATGAAGAAACAGAGAAAAACAAGGAAATTTCAAAATGGCCAAAAGCAGGTACTTTGGAAAGATCAATAAAACAAATAAACCTCTAGTAAAGTTAGCCAGGAAAAAGAAAAACACTATCAAAATCAGAATTAAAGGACTGTGACTACAAATATTAAGAATATTTAAAGAAAGCTTAAGGAAATGAACAATTGCAATGTTTACAACATATCAAGCTCTGCAGAAACTGGAGCCGGGCTGCAGTGATGCACACCTGTAACCCCAGAATTTGCGAGTCTGAGGCAAGCTGCCTGCAAATTAGTGAGCTGAAGGCCAGTCTGGACTACACAGTGAGACCCTGTTTCAAAGAGAAGGAGGAGGAGGAGGATGAAGAGGAGCGGGGAAGGGAGGGGAAAAAGATGAGAAAGGAGGAGGAGGGAGGAAGAAAAGGAGAAACAGTAATCTGAATTATCCTATATCAACTGATGAAACTAAATTTGTAATTCAAAAAAACCTCCCCACCCTATCTCTCAAAAAAAAAAATTACTTCATGCGCAAATGGTTTCGCAGGTGAATTATACCAAGTACTTAGGGAAGAAATAAAACCAATTCTAAACAAATTGTCCCAGAAAATAATAGAAGCAAAAACACTTTTAACTTATTTACAGCCAGAATTACCTTGATATGACAACCAGACATTAGCAAAAAATGGCATACCAATATCTTTCATGAATACAGATACAAAAATATTTATTTAAATTTTAGATAATCAATCCAGTAACACTGGGAAAGGATATGCATTAAGACCCCATGAGATTTAGCCCAAGAATTAAGATGGTTTGTATTTTAAAATCAATCAATACAATATTAAGAAAATACAACTGCAATATGGTGTGATCATCTCAATAGATGCCAGAAAAGCACTTGACAAAATTTATAAAAATGCTTAGTGAATAAAAGAATGTCCTCAACTGAATAAAAAGTTAATACAGGTTTATCTATGAAATATCTAGCATTGTATTTACTGAGAAAGTCTAAGTGCTACACTAAGATCAAAAACATGGTTAGGATATTTGCTTTCACCTCTTTGATTCAACATCCAATCTAGAGGTTCTAACCTGTGTAACAGGCAATATAAAAATATAAGATATACAGATTGGAAAAGAAGTGAAAGTGCTCTTACTCACAGACAAAATTGTTAATGCTGAAATCCTAGGAAATCTACGAAAAGCTCTAAACTAGTAAGTAAACTGTAAAAGCCTCAGGATACAGGATCAATGTATAAA